CGCATCGCTGTGTGCACAGCAGGGAGGGCTTCAGCGAGGTTCAGGGCAAAGCGAGGGCAGATCTTTGCAAACAGGGGATCTGCCCAGGGCTGTGCTCAGGAGCAGGAGGGCAAAACCTACAGAGGGAAGGTCAGAGTGGCCTTTCTCCGTCCAAATGGGTCAGTGGGGTCAGTGAAGATGTTGAACAAAGAAAAACATCGCAGCGACTCATCTCCTCGGAGCACCCCTCTATCCTGGCAGAGCAGAGGAAAGGACGGGCAGATAGTCACTACGCTTTATTTCCAGCCCAGCCGAGTCATAAATCTAAGTGTAAATGTGTTAAAGATGTAAGATTGAATTTACTGATGTATGCAAAGCGTAGGTTTCCCATTGCTGTCAAAGATCCATCATTGTGGAGTGTCCGAAACAGAGGCACCGTTGGAAAAGTTGTGCCTTTCCAGATGTTTCGCAATCCAACACTGCTATAACCCCCGAGGTGCAGCTCTGATGTCATCTTTAAATGAATGCTCAGATTTTAATCTTGGGACAACTACTATTATAATTAAGTGGAATAAGATTATTATTTTTATTCGATTACACCTTGTTTGTTTTCTTTGGATTTTCCAGAGTGCAGTGGAAAGTCTGAAGAAATACCATCTAGCCATTTAGTGAGCTGGAGGGGCATAAAATATTATGTAAGGTTTCTGTTAAAGCTTGTGTTTAAATGTTTTGGTTGTTTCTTCTGCTCTGCAAAGGACTCTGTGGTGATTGCTTGATTTTTCTCCCCAAATTTCCTGGACACCTTGGGCTCTGGCACAAAGCCTGGGGACAAGGAGTCCGGCTACAAGGTTTGTGTCAGAAAGGCAACCCCATGCCGGTCTCGCAGGTTTGGGGCGACTCGCAGCTTTTTCACCCCAGTGGTTCCCTGTTGCGTGTCTTTGCCTGACAGGGGGTGCTCTGTTTGACCCTCATCTTGTTCCTTTCTCCCCCAGCTGCCCAGTGTGCTCCCCTCCTGCTCCTTGCCTGTGTGTTGGCCCTGCCTGCCCCACATCTCACCAAGAGCATCCAGAGCCTGTCCCTCTTCAATCAATCTGCCTCCGTGTCTGCTCTGAACACACCAGTGAACGGTAGGTACATGGAAGGTCTCCCTCTCTGCCAGCAGGACACGGAACCCAGAGCAGGCTGTCAGGGAGGGCACATTCCAACCCCCTGAGCTGCCAGCAGAGCCCCAGCATCCCTCAGAGAGATATGAACCCCAGCATGAGTAATCTGCCCTTCCTCAAACATCTGGTGGGTGCAGACACGGGACCTGGCAGTCATGGACTTTTTTGCTCGTGTAGGTGTAGAGAAGCCTGGAGGGTTTGCTCTGATCCCCTCCTGAAGCCAAGGCAGTCCCTCCCCACACATTCCTTGCCCCACAGGAGGATGGTAGGGACAGTCAGTGGGAAGGATGCAGAAGAAAGGAACCTGCCACCAGCGTCCCCAGCTGTTTCACTTGTCCCATGGCTATAAGAACTAGAGAAGTGGCCTTCTCCAGTGAATGCCCATGTCTGAGGGTACTTCACCAGCCTGTGCCATTCCCGGCCGCACTCTCAGCCTTGCTCCCAGGGTGCTCACAGTCCCAGGAGGGTAAAACACAGCTCCTGCAGTGGTGGGAGAGGATGGCTGATACCTACTTGGCTGAGGCAACATGTAGTAAACCCATGCTCAGTCTCTGGGGCCACAACACACCAAAAATATTTGGAAACAAGAGACTTCAGAAGATAAAGGCTCCCTCTCCAGGAGGGTGGAAAGGCCCTGTATCTTACTGCCTGTATTCCACTTCTTGTGCCAGAAAGTGTATCCTGACCTGGACTCCAGCTTTCTTTGGTGTCCCCATCCCTACCCCCCATTTCCAAATCCCCTCTCTACTGTTGTTTTCCACATCCCAGGTCAGCTCCGGCTGGTGAATGGCTCTAACCAGTGCTCCGGACGGGTGGAGGTTTGGTACCGCAACGAGTGGGGAACGGTGTGTGATGACAGCTGGGACATAAGAGATGCCTCTGTGGTGTGTAGGCAGCTTGGCTGCGGAGAGGCAGTATCAGCCCAAAGTAATGCTCATTTCGGGAGTGGATCTGGGACTATCTGGCTGGATGGCGTTAACTGCAACGGGGAGGAGGAACTCCTCACCGAGTGCTCACTACGGGCTTGGGGAGAGCACGACTGCCGGCACAGCGAGGACGCAGGCGTTGTGTGCACAGGTGAGGATGGCGTTCACACTGGTCCGCGCTCCTCAGGCGATCCGTGTCTCACTAATGTCTTGGTCTTGCAGAACCAGACACAGGAGGACTGCGGGATGCGCCTCTGTCTTGTTGCACAGGGTCCTATTAAATCACCCTCTCTCCTGCCCCAGGTTGGCCCAAGGACTGCAGCGAGATCCCCGCTGGCAACCCCAGCGGCATCTACGTCATCCAGCCCACCGGACTGCACCCCATCGTGGTGTACTGCGAAATGAATGTGACAGACGGGGGCTGGACGGTCATCCAGAGGAACCGGCAGAGCACGGAGATCACCTGGGCTGAGTCCTGGAGCACCTACAAGTACGGCTTTGGGAACGTGCACACTGATTACTGGCTGGGCACCGAGTACATCCATCAGATCTCCAAGCAGAAGGTCTACCAGGTCAGGTTTGTCATTTGGGATGCTGCAAACAACACCAAGTTCGCAGACTACAACCTCTTCAATGTGGAAGATGAGTCCCAGGGCTACCAGCTGAGGCTGGGAACGTACTCGGGGACAGCGGGGGATGCCATGGCCTCACAGAGTCCCAGCACCATGCACGACAACATGAAGTTCTCCGCTAAAGACCTGGATCAGGACACTAACAGCGGGAACTGTGCCTCCAGCTACGGGGGTGGGTGGTGGTACTCGGCGTGTTATTCTGTACAGCTGAACGTCAAGGGGGCCATAACGTGGGGCAACCTGTGCAGTGGGAACTGCAAAGCTTCTGCCATCCTCATCAAACCCATTACCTACTGCTAGGGCTTCGTCACTGCCCGTCTGCACGGGGCACATGGCCAGACCAGTGCCCTGCCGGGCCCTTTTCCTGGGTGGGAGTGGAGAGGGTGACATCAGGGCACACCTTGGGTTCCCCAGAGATTTTTCTCTCTCCTCTTTTGCAGAGCTCCTCTGCTTCCCTTGCTTGGTTCTTCCCCTTTGAGCTGTTTTTATTTTAATTGTGTTATAATCAGACTAACACATTGCAAACTCTGTACTTTTGAAACACACCTGCTCTGGAGAATAAAATGTGCTTCACAAACATAATGCCTGGATAAACACCATGGGAAAATGTCCTTATTCTTAGCTGTATAAATAATCAGCCCCTTTCTCTTCAGGGTTTCTTTTGGCCCCTCATTAGCTGGAGTGGGGGAAGGATAAAGAGACCCTATGTCCTAGTAAATCTGAATTAACCCCACTTGGTGAAGGTGTGGCCTTGATGCCTACACCTGGAGGGGTGTTTTCACCCACACTGGTTCTCAGTTCACCTCATAAAACCTCCAGTAGAACCCTGTGTCTAAACCAACACCTAAAACCAGCACATACCTACACCGTATCTCATAGAATCACGGAATGGTTTGGGTTGGAAGGGACCTTAAAGCCCACCCAGTCCCACCCCCTCCCATGGGCAGGGACACCTTGCACTAGACCAGGTTGCTCCAAGCCTCATCCAGCCTGGCCTTGGACACTTCCAGGGATGGGGCATCCACAGCTTCTCTGGGCAACCTGTCCCAGTGCTCCCCACCCTCTCCGGGAAGGATTTCTTCCTGATATCCTATCCCAATCTCCCCACTTCCAATTTAAACCTGTTACCCCTTGTTCTGTCACTCCCTGCCCTTGCAAAAAGTCCCCCCCAGCTTCCTTGTACC